GTTCGCATCTTGCCATGCTGGATCATCAGCAAATTCCTCTGAGTACTCAAGGGCGGGTGAGAACACCGACATCACTCACGCTGCAGGTTCCCGCACAGCAGCCTTTTGCTTATCTCGCTCTTGGTCAGGGTTTCTCCACGTGTCCAAGTGGTCGCAGCTGAAATGCGCAAGTTGGGGCAACGCTCACTGAGAACCACAAAGGGTTGATGAAGAGAATGAGTTGGACGTTCACTGAGTTTTGCCCTGCCCTAAGTTAGCCCTAGGTTGGAAGACAATTAAAATGGTTGAGCTGGTTTTGGACAGTCTTGGAGTGTAGAATCCTGAGAAACTATGGTTGTTCGGGATTCAGCCTCTTGCATCAACTGCTGTTGGAATCCCAACGGGTTCGACATTTCAACTTGCATCAACCTGCGACCATTGGACCTGTGAGCGCTCTTATTCAGACCGTTTGGCACCCCAACGAGATTTGGTGTGTAGAAACAGGTCGAAAGCAGCTGGACCAGTCACAAAGGACCGGTCACAGAGCCCGTCACATGAGCCCGTCGCTCAAAGTTCAGCATGGCTTCGTTAATTAAGAGCTTGGTCGATGGATCTATATATATATATATATAATCTCGAAAACTTCAACATGCTTATTTTGCTGGCTCATGTGCCCAGTGGATATTTGTCCACCCTCTGTTCCCAGCGCGAAGAGCAGGACGCTCTACTTTATTAGTAGCAACAATGCGACACAAAGACGATCCTATGGACCACCCAAATACTCCATGATCTCATAGATCTGCGTTCAAGGGGTATATGATTGTCCATGAGCAACCCAAAATCCTCGGTTCTTGTATCCTCTCTCTCTCCTGTTCTGTTCGATGCAAAACCACCCTTCAATCAGCGGCGTTTTAGCGGCTCCTGGTGAGATGCGGTAGGGAATGCCGAATGTTTTGAAGCCCAAACTGGCATATATTTCCTACCTGGACCTGACGATCTCATTTGTAGCCAAACAAATGTAGGACCTGACCTGAATACAAAACAGGTATGGTTGAGCATTTTCTGAGGAAGGATTCCCACTCAGTATTGGCAATGAACACGGACTACCCAAAGTTCCTTTCCCCTTCCAAAACCAGAGTTTTTAACTGCTATGGGGGACTGCGGGGTCGTATTCAATGCAAAATTACAATGGTTCAAAAAGTCATTTTGAAGGTGCTTGTTGTTCAAAGATGTTGACCATGTTTTGAGCACGCTCCATCATTCCCGCAACTTAATCTGGACCCTTTTTCTACCCCTGCTTCGGTGGAGGTGGAAGCAGCCTCCACAGTAAGTGCAAAAGGCGGTTTCGCCAGGTTGACTACTTCTGCATCCTGGCCTACCCGAAAGCGATGGATCAGAAAACTCTGAACAAGACCGCAAGCCAAACTGTCTCCTGCAACAAAAAGTATGGTCATACCTTGCCATTTCTCGACTTTGTCTCTGTAATTAATGTTATGTTAAATATTCCGTTCATGGAGTGTTTGAGTTTGGGAATCGCTCTCTGGGTCCGGTTTCGCACCAGACATTCTTCGTCAGTGCTGCGAACACCAAAGCTCCGCTGACCGCGCGCAACCCCGACGTGGCGGATGCATCTCGACGTCAAAAGCTGCCAGCTGCAACCAAGTTCTGCCGCTTGAGGACTTGTCCTCGATCCCTATGGGTCAAGGGACCTCATGGAAACTGGAGATAGTGAAAAGCACGACTCTTTAGGTTTTTTGAGGACGTTAATCTGGGTCTGAATTTCTGCTGACTGAGTTGTGGGGTGTGGCTGATCTAAGCTGCTGCGTTGCTGGATAGTTTTATCGCCCAATTCCTGGCAAAGCCTTACAACATGTCTCTTGGGAGCAGAACCAAGAAACAACTGGGTTCTGTTAGGATACAACAAGCAGTTTGCGCCCAAACGGCTTCGTCTTTGTGCGGAGCTGGTAAGCTTTCATAAGTTGTCCCAGGACCCAGTCGAGTCCGCTATGCAACTGATCCCGAGTCCGCTATACCTTTTTTGATAGGGTCATGTGGTCTCAGTTCGTACCTGGAGTCTCAGTTCGTACCTTCGAAAATGAGTACAAGTACAATGTGTTTATAGGTTCATGTCCCATTTTCGGTACTTACTTTGGAGGGTCTAGGGTAGATTGAGGAATACAACCCCTTTGCGAGAGCCTCCTACTGTTGAGGTCATCGGGATCTATCGAAGCTGACATGTTACATGTTTCAATGTCCTACATTCTCCGAGAGCTTTGTTGCACTGGGTCCAACCTGCATCGCAACGGCCTCAACAGCCGCAGATAGGCTACACGCCTGAAACAATGTCACTACAGAGAGCCACCGCTCTCAAGAGGGACTTTCCGTCTCCGTCTCTTCTTGAATTGAAAATATAGGCCAGCTCTGATCAAGAGCAGTCCCAATCCCTTGCAGACGTTGCCGCAGCCTCTGCTGAAGAGTTTTCGTGATGGTCTGGAGCAAAAAGTGCCCACTTGCGGATTGCCCTATAGCGGGCACATCATCCATCAGCTGGTGGATCAGCTTCTCGCTCTACAGCCTTTTGCGTGGTTGAGGAGCGAAAGAATGATCTGACAGCCGAATTTGCTCTGTGCCACACTTCGTGCGTGCCCATCAAGCGCTTCACCCATGATATGGCTCCCGTGCAAGATTTCGATGATGCACTTCAGCACAGAGAAGCCATATCGATCCATGGAAAGAGAGTGGATACTTCCTTTCAAATCGATCACGAGGTCAAAGGCCAGCTTGGGATTCACTGCCTGCAAGCCTCTCAGCGCCATCTGCGCGGCCCGGCTGGAGCGATCCGAGTGGGTCGAAAGCATCACCATCTTTCCCCGGAAGATCTGTGCAAAAGCCACCTGTGCCACCAAGCCTCCTGGGATTTGCTGGTCCAACCAAGAAACAATCGATTCCCCGTGCCACGGGATGTCACACATAAGGAAAGTTTAAAAAATCGTTCTAAGCAAAACCAGGCCTCCTTGCTCCAAGTACTTCCGCAAGCACTCAAAACCATTATGCGGCACATGCGGTTCTTTTGGAACCTGGTCCATCTGATCACTGAGATCTGCTAAGCTCTCGACCAACAGAAACAAATGAAGAGTCAAGATGCTTTGGCACTTCTTGATCAAGAGGGCTCCAAATCAACTGCTGGCTGACTCTGGGGTGGTTGCAGCAGGCCAACATGTGTGGGCTCCATCTGCCCTTCTTTCAATAGCAAACACTAGGCAAGCTGCAGCGTCGTACGTGTGGACCCTGGCGTCGTTGGGGGCCTGTTCGGCCACCCGAGATGACTTGGCAACAAGCGCACTGGCTGCATCACTGGCATCAGACGTCGGATGTCCAAGGCTGGAGCCCGATCTGACGGCGAGGTCAGAGAGAATCATGGACTCAAAGATACTGAAAGAGCACAAAGAGTGGGTGAACATCGCAGTTTGGGGATGGGTCACTTCAGCCATATCATTCCATCTTTTTTGGGGGGGGGAGACTTCCATCTGTCACCCTCCACTCTCCGTGGTTTTCAGGGACATCCATCTGCTTCCACTCGCTCGGTGACCGAACGACCTGACCAAGTTCGTTCGTTCGAGTACCAGTCCACCGCGACTCGTTCCACTGAGGCACAGACCGTGAGAAGCCCCGCGCGAGCACCCATCGGATCGGCCTCGGTCGCTGCCATCGACCGAGCGCTTGGGGGTCGACCCGGCGACGACAGGGACAGTGACTTAGTCACTGGATTGGGGAGTCATGCCGCCCTCATTTTGGGCCGAAGCCAGCTCAAATAGAATCGAAAATACTTAGAGATCCCAACCACCCAATCTGCAGCCCAGTCATGGTAACACACGTCTGCACAACCGCAACTCACTTAAGAGTGGCATTGCCACTGGCTGCAGAAGCTGCTCCTAGAGGTCACCATCCGTATGCCCATCCTCTCGAGTATGGAATGTATGCGCATTGGACCCCTCCGTCCCCACCCCAATGTAGTTATGCAGTTCACAGAAATGGCTCATCTGGGACTGGAACTGCATCTTCACAGCTTGCTTGGACGACGGACGACGGACCACGGAGCCACCGTGGCCGGGCGAGCGGTGAAGCTCACCTGGTCGGGTCGGCCACCCCCAAAAGAACAGGTGTTTTTCGACTGTGGACCCAGCCAACTGAGGTACGAACTCACAGGTCGACTATGGTCGACTCTATTTTGAGGAACAGGTCATTCCCCAACCAAAATGGCGGGAGATCTTCGATTGGTGACCCAAAAGAAGTACACACTGTGCCGGTCAGATTTGGCTGATCGGCCTAAAGGGCCAAAGGAGTGGTGCTCCAAATCGCATCGACCGGGACCGAGGCTTTTCCCGCTCTCCGCTCGGTAGCACGAGCTCGAGGCGACGGCGGTCCCAGGTCACGTCGTGGCCGGAGGTCGCTCGCGCCTTCGGAAGGGTCGTTGCTTGGGGCCGGGAGCTTCGAGTTTCTCGGATGGTTCTGGGTTCTTTTTGGGGACCGAATGAACTGGCATAGCTTTATAATTTTATAAGATATCGCCGCCTGAGAACTCAGGGCGCTTAGCTGGGTTCCTGATCGTCTTTGAAACTCGAAGGTGGTGGGACTGGGGGCCCGGGTGTCAGGAGGGTCCATTCATACCTTTTTAGGCGGTACAACTGGAGGTCTAGGGAGTGCGGAGCATTGCCACCTGGGACGGAGGTTGTTCTGTGTGGCAGGATGGGCGCATGGAGGGACCCAACACCGGTGTTGGCTTATTGGAGGTTCAAAGCAATAGAGCCAACAAAATGTGTATGAAAAATCTATTGCTATTGAGCTGCTTCAATGTATGTCCAAACGAAAAGTTTCCGCGCACGTTCGGCAGAACTTGCCTATTGGTTGTCCCGCCGTTGGCTTTCCTCCTGGCAACTCACCGGAGAAGCGTTCAATGATTTGGGCACTGTGCTTTGGTCCAAGCCGGCCAAGCCTTCTTGATCTTGCGCATCAGGACTTTTGAGGTAGAAGCTTCTGGGCACGGTCACTGCTTAGCCTCAAGACTTGGCATGCATCATCAATAAGCTGCAGAACATCGCAATGTCTGTAGCGCTTTGGTTCTTTTTCCCTGCCACTGAATGCTCCTCGAGAAGAGGTGAAACAGTGCAAAGATGAAGGCCTGGTGCTAAAGCTTAGACTGCTTCGCTCCAGGCAAGTTCTCATACTCAGGCAAAGACTTTTGTACCATTGACGCAGTTGCAATGGCCAAATCACTCCCTTGTAGCATGCTCATGTTCCAAGTAATGGCATATTCCAAGCTATCCTTCACCGAGTTATCCCTCGTGTAGTTCAAGAACTCTTTGATCCCAAGAGTCGCAATCGGACTCTTGGACGCAATGCTCTGGCACAGCGCCAGCCCCTCGGACATCATGGCCTCCTTAGTGTCGAAGATTCGGCTCACCAAGCCATGCTGAAAGGCCTCGGATCCCAGCATCTGCCGACCAGACAGCGCTAGCTCCCGGACCAAGCTCCTGAGCGAACTGCAAGGCGAGCGCCTTGCAGGATCCAGAGCATTCCCGCGCAACAGACCAAGGCGCAGTCACGTGGTGAAGGCCAAGGGGTAGCAAGCAACAAATGAATCAGTCAAACAGACCCTCTGTCGGTGCACCGGTCGCTCAGTCAGTCAGTTAGCGAGTCCGTTCACTGAGTCAATCAAAGAGTGGGCCAGTCACTTATATAGTCAACGATTCTAAAAAAGGCCAGGCCTTCGAAGGACTCGGAGAGTTCGACCAAACAAACATAGAGGTTTTGGTTTCAAATCTAATTCTATAAGGGTTGACATGTTTTCTGGGATGTTTCTGGAAATGCTGGAAATGTTCTTCCATTCTATAATATTCTATATAGCTTCTAGTGAACACAGAAACTGGTGCACAACTCCATACAGGTCCTCTCAGCGCGTACAAGTCAGGCAAGAGACTTCGCCCTACGTACAAGTCAGGCTTCAACTTCAAACCGCAATCCCAAGGCATCAAAGAACCAAGCGTCTGGTTGCCAATGATCTTGGGTAGTCTTTGCAACCCACCAACATCAGAGGCCAGACCGATATCCACCTCTGCCAGTTTGAAGGAGGCATCCGAGGTGCAAAAGCGAATGTCACACGCCGCAACCAGCTCAAGCCCTGCTCCAAGCACAGCGCCGTGTAGGCAGGCAATCACTGGTTTGCCACACATCTCCTTACGTGCGGAAAAGGACGGCCAAGGGGAAAGAAAAAGCTCTTACCAGTGTTGGTACAAATTCAGAACATCACTAGACCAGCATCACCCTCAAACAGGCGAATGCAAATTGAGAACCCCAACAGTTTTACTGCTTGAGGGGTAAATGAAACAAATAAATGACAAATAGAACTTGCAAAACGTCTCTGTGCGTCAATCGATGTGAAAGCGTCCTGCCACATCTTGCCAAAGTTCCGGATCTTTAGAGCCCGCCTTGCAACGTCTTGTGCCTCGAGGCCAGGAGGCAGGAGGCCAGTGACTCACCTCCAAGTCGATAAAGAACCCTTCTTCAGCATGTCTATACGATCTATATATTTATATAGAGTATTTGATGTGCCCAAAACCAGCTGCACCTCTTGGAATCGGTGTTGTTTCTCTTTCCAGTGAAAAGAAACCGAGTCACCGCATCGCTGCTGAAGATGCTCAGCGCAGTTTTCAGATCCAAACCGGAACAAAAGAGGTGGCCAGCACCTACAGGGACACTGCGACACCGATTTGTGAAGTCCAAATCAAAATGTCCGGATTTCCATAGAGCGGGGGGCTAACTGCACCCTCACACAAATAGTGTGTCGCCATCTGGCGCAAGGAGGTGTCCTGACAAAAGGACTGCTCGGGTGTCAACATCTTGCTTAATCATCTCGAAGCAAAGTTTGATCTCCTTGCGGGATTCAATGAGACGCGACCACAAAGCGTTAGAAGAACCCTCCCATACAAAGCTCCAAAAAAACATGACAACTCCCTAATCCGTGTACAGAAGCTCTTCGCAGGCCGGCGACTCGTTTCATCCCCACCGGTTTTGGTCAACAAAAAAAAACTCAACGGTGGGAACTCCTTTGGCCCCATATGGCCACAGCGCTCCTCCCAAAAGACCAAGTCCAAGGCGTTCATCTTCTCCGGCCGGTGGAGCTCCACGTGCAGCACATGCGGAGCCACGGGCAAAACCCGCAGCCTGATCAGGGGGACGCAGCGAAGTGACCCGATGGTTTTGGACAGAAAGGATCCTTTGTCTTTCTTCTGCCACAAGGGGAGCACTCGTCCTTCCACTAATTGTGTGTTTTACATACAAAAGGCTTCAGCCCCATCACATGAAAACACCCTTCTTCCTTGATCTTTGGGCGGTGTTCAATGCTTGTCGCGCCTCTGCAGGTGTTCAAAGCTTGGCGCAAACGACATGGTCAGCAGATTTCTGTGGTGCAAGTTGTTTTGTTTGGGTTCATAACATACCTGTCATACCCACCGCTCCATTGTTCAGGACAAGTGAGTGCAAGTGCCAATTGTGAATGTTCAGGACATTGATGTGATTGTCATAGCTCCTGTTTGATGCAAGCACTGCAATGATTGACAAATGGTGCCGTCCAAATAAATCACACTGACTACTTCTCTCGGCTTGATCGAGTGACAATCTAAAAAGAACACTTCTGAAGTAAGAAGCAAAAACGTGTTTATTTCGAATCCCCCCACAAAATTCCCCCAATTGTGACATCAGTTGTATTCAATTTCCAAATCCTCACACCGAGTCTGAAGCTTCTGGGAGAAAAAGACCTTGTCCAAGTTGAGGCCTTTCAAAATCTCGGCCACCTGGCGACCGAGGCGGTTTTGGAGCGGCCCTGAAGGCCAAGGTCCACTTTCCTGGCTTGGCCCATTCACTTGCCCAGTAAGCAGTATCAAACTCGCACAGTGCCTCATCTCTCGCACGGTTCGACTGTGCCGTGTCCGACATGATGTTCTGATTGCTCAACAAATTCTTTGAAAACATACAATAGCAGCATACTGACGCATGTAAATGTTGCTGCTCCCGTGTGGCCTCCTTCAACTGAAAAAGGGACAATAGTTGTGCAAAAAAAATTGTATATAAAGGTTTACTTGGGCAGAATCCTGTGAGCCGCAAAACGACAAGGACCTCAATTCAACCAAAGCACGCAACACACCAAAAAGTTGAGAAAAACAGACCTCCAACAATCAGCTCAACAGGGATACATCTATTCTCCAACTGCATCAAACATTCTTGCAACCTTTGATCTTGGGTGTGGGAAGATTAAGTGGATGGCGATATGGAGGCCACCAAGCACCAGAGACAAAGATGCCAGGAACCCAAATTCTTGGACTTCCGCAAATCTGCACAGGTGCCCCCCGGCAAGTGGCGTTTGTTGCTTCAGCTGCAAAGTAACTTGAGAGAGGAGGGGGTGAACGAAAGGTAGCAGGCAATCACAAGTAACCCCTGGTAGAAGTCCATGACGGCGTGAACCGGCGCAGGGGGGGCTTGATCCAGGGGGGGATTGACACGAAGTGCAATGCAGTGGATTTCCGTTGGAAAGAACACGGTCTCGAGAGAGGTCCAATCGGACGATGCTCGGACACGAGTCGAACGCAGTCGCGCTGTGAAAGCTAGCGGCGTTTCTCAGTCTTGAGACCATACAGAGGTTAGTTCGAGGAAAAAGGAAACACAAAACAGACACAATTTTCCTAACCTCTGTGCATGAAATTGCCTTGGTCGATAATTGACACAAGGAAGGCCTTATAAATTGTAAATTCTCGTTTTCAAGAATTCTTGCTTGTCGGTCTTCTATGTACGGGAAGATATCTACAGGTGCTAACGAAGGTGAGACCGAATGCATCGAATGCTTATGTTCAAGTTCTTCCGCATCGGAACTGCCAGTGGCGGCTGAGTGTACGTTCTTAATCGTCACTTGCAAAGGATGATGCCAGCTTTGGTCATTTCCACCTATCAACAGTGGTTATTGCGGCAAGTGCTTGAAACGTTCACAAGATTCGACAGTGTATGGGATCTTGGGAGCTGGTCGGATCGCTCCATTCTTGCCATCCAAATCGTTTCGGTCATCAAGGGCAGGATTGAAAATAAGGCTTTGTTACAGTTCATTTGGATCTGAGCTTGAATGGTGGCCTCCAACTGCACTCTTTGCGTACTTGTGACAGACCATGTGTCGGTGACTCTTCCATTTGATCCAAGTAACTACTGCTCCCAAGATGACATCATACTCAGACGGATGGAAGCCTTCGAAGTACTTGGGAAATTCAATTTGGTTCGTACGTTCTCATTGCTTCAAATGTTTGAAGATCCATCGCGCTTCAAAGTCGGCTGGAGTGGAACTATGGACCGATGCATTGATCCTGAGATGGTTCAGTTTTCGATTGGAATAGTGCTCATTGACTGTGGTCATGCATTCTCGGATGCAATGGTGGATGAGTCCACAGCAGATTCCCATCAGCGTTTGTGAATCGAAATCGGTTGACGGCTAGGTTTCCATCTCCGGTCAGATCATCGACATGCATCGTCATGCTGTCCCTAATGAATCTGGACAAACACGCAGCGATCTTAGGCATGCCTTTCTTGCGACACAATTGCGCATTGGCATGGAGAATGTCTCAGGAAATCCAGCGCGATGTATCTGTGTTGATTGGTTGTTCTTATATGCAAGAGGAGTCTTGTCCCCAAGATCAGTTTCGGAATCCCAACGGACGGCATCAGAAGTGTTGAGCTTGATGGTCAGGTCGACAAACTCGTTCATACTACCCAGGACTTCGACAGTGTGTTCCGGGAACATTGATGCTCCTCGCGCACACTGTTCTAGATAGATATGCGAACTTCTGAAATGTCGGCCAGTGCTTAACCAGGGACGAAAAGGACGTGTCGCCTTGTCAAAATGTGATTGCTGTTCTTGATGCAGAATGTCGAAGAATTCATTGACTCCTGCTTGTTTTGCTTGTTCACAGGACGAAATCTGTTCATATTGCTCTTTGCTCTCGACGAAAATCTCTGGCTCGGACGCTCTGGACCTATTGCCAAAATTGACACGGAAAACTGCACCGGTGGCAATCCAAGTTTCCTTGTCATTCATCTTTCTGGCGTCCGTATAGCAAAGGTCAATTGAAACGTTATTCGGAGGGCTTTGGGCGAAACATGCTACTGCTGGTGCTCCAAGGTTCTTGACTCTCATTCCTATAAATCCGTGATGAACAATGTCCGTGATCATCTCATCGGTCAAAGTATCAGCTTCATTGACCATCACCACATGTGCATCATTCTGGTAAATCATCTTGTGGAAAACAGGTTCTTGTTCCTTCAATGGCTTGTACTTCTGATTCTGGTGTTCTTTTGGGAGTCCGTGAGGGCGAGTCCAGTGTCCCAAGTTCAAGGTCAAAACCGAGAGGTTCTTGCTTGAGACATGACATCGACTCTGTTGTTGTAAGCTCTTAACAACCTGTCTTGGAATGCCAGTGGTCAACAAGAGCTTGCTTGCGAGGTCTTGTAAGTACGAGATGATAGCTTCAATCTCACGGTCGGCCGTGAGCTCACCGCTTTCATGACAGAACTGAACAAATCGGAGTGCCGATATTGATTCACGAAAGGGGCGTGTACCAAGGTTGCCGGGAGGTACCATGGTAGTTCATATCCTGTTGCAGCATTGAAGTTCGTATAGTCGTGGATGTTGAGTTCTAGTGCGTGAGGAAAACGATCGGTCGCGGTGGCATAATAATGTGGTTCGAACTTATCCTCGACATCATTGTCTCGGACGGCTAGGAAGGCAACAGAGAAAGGACCTACAGATTCGATGGCACAGGGATATTCAGCAAGTACATCACGAGCTCCGTATAGGAAAGTTGGAAGATCGGTTGATCTTGTAGGCTCTCGCGTTGTTCGTTCTTCGAATGCGTTCTTCAAAGTATTGGGATCGATGATTGAACTGAGCTGATGTTCATGATTCGGATTTAGCGATTCATCGAAAGTTGTCATGTAGCGAGCGCTACAATCGCATCGTGCATGAGGTCTAGAAAACTGGCAGGGCATACATTGATATCGGCCACGAAACAGCACATGAAAGTTGCGATGTTCTTAAAACAGATACTGCACACTGTGTCACCCATGTGCATGTAATACGGACCATGCTTGGCACTCGAGACGGCCTTACCATAATTCAGATCTTCTGGTTCGAAAGTCAGCTGAGTCTGGTCAAAGGGTTCATCGTCCTCGATGCCGGCAGAGGCCATGGATGTAATGGTCATAGCACTCTGGACTGTGGAAGGTCTTGACTGTGCAGGCGGCGCTTCCGGCATGGTCTCTGTACCCTCTGGAGGTAATTCAGGGTCCTTTCGGCGTGGCCGCATGTTGCGATATTGGTTTTCTGATTCAAAGGGAATGTCCGAGGCTGTACTTGTATGGTCATAGTTCCTCTTCTTATCAACGGAATCATCTCGTTCTTCCTTCATCTCCTCGGACTTCATGAGTTCTTCATCTTCCTTTGGATCATCTGCTGGTTCGTCAGGCGGTCCGTCGTTCATGTCTTCATCCTCGCTTTTAACCTCTTCCTTTGGTTCTCCGCCGCCATCACGTCCTTGATCATCATCATCGTCATCTTGATCTTCTGGATCATCCTCAGGATCTTCATCGTCATCAGGATCAGAATGATCTGGATCATCTGGATCTTCCTTCTTGGTCTTATTATTTCTCTTCTTCTTTTGTTCTTCTTCTTCTTGTTCTTACTTAGTGCGCCTCGGCAAGAGCTCGAGTGGAAGCAGTTCCGGAAGTTCTTCGGTCTGTGCCTCCGAACATTGCAATGTCTTGCCAGCGGAAGTGTTGACTGAGACAACCCAGGCATCATCGGTCTTAGCGTCTTGTTCTTCTAGATCATGGTGTTCAGCGGTTGGCGCTAACGAGTTTGCATCGAACACGGCAGGAACAAACGGTGGATCCTTGGGTGAAGGTTCGGCCTTAGCTTCTGGTAGGCCTTGGCCCTTAGGCTTAGGAATGGCCCCCACAGACGAAGATGGAGATGCTACCGAAGAAGCTGGCGGACTTGGTTTGTTCTTAGGAGGAGCAGCTTGCGATGGCTCCGATGGTTTTGCTGGTGGAGGTCCTGGTGCAGACGGCATGGCCTTCGTTGGCGGTCCTGCAGGTGGATACGATTGCGATCTTATTGGTAGGACTGTTGGAATCGTACGTAGATCAATGGCAGTGACGACCATTGCCTCATGGTCCACGGGCTCATCAATGTTGTCCATGATACCTTTGTTGTGATGTCGTTCTTGAAGACGAGGGTTGGTGTTCTCAAGGTAACAGCGAGCGAGGTTCTTGTGGAAGCTTGCGATGGTGTCTGACCAACGATTGGCGTCACCAAAAGCACCTTGGACAGGGATGTGACGCTGATCGATCAAACGCTGAATAAAGGCCTTGATTTGCTGATGACCGA